GACACCCAGCTCTATTTCTCAGAGTCAGTAGAGGTTGTGCATGACATGAGCTGTTTTCTGGGTCTAGCGGTGAGATGGATGTGGTGAAGGGAAGCTGAATCTTGGTAAGGCTAAATGCTTGTGGCTGGGTGGTTCATAGATCTGGAATTTGGGAAGACTGTTCAGGATGCGGTTACGCTTCCTCTGAAAGCGGGTGTCTGAGGGTGCTTCTGGAACTATCAGTGTCGCTAGAGGAACAAGTAATCTCGGTAGCTGCAAGGGTCTATTACTAGCTTCAGTTGGTGTCAAAACTCTGCTCTTACCTGGACAGGAATAGCCTAGCTGCTGTGGTTTGTGCACTGGGAACTTCCCATGTGGGTTACTATCACATGCTGTACATGGGATTGCCCTTAAGACTGGTTCTGAAACTGCAGCTAGTGCAGAATGCAGCAGCAAGGGTCCTGTGTGTTGTACCTGGCTGTACTTGCATGTTACACTGGTGGCTGCCTTTCAGCTCCTGAGCCAATATTCGGAGGAGGCCCTGTTAGCGGTACTGCATTTTACAATATGTTGCTTGGCGACGACACAGAAACAGGCCTTCCTGTAGTGGTGCCCGCTCTCTGGAACACTCCCCTCACCCCCACTTTACAGGAGGCACCCACAGAGAACACACTTGTTTACTCAGGCTTTCCCAGACTAGGTTATTGGCCCATTTTAGATATTGGCTTGTATCCAAAGCAGGTCCTACTCAGAGTAGAAATGCTGAAGTTATCATACATGAGAAATTTAATGTCATTAATTTCAGTAGGTCTACTTGGATCAGACGAGCATAGAAGGCGATTCATTGTGCATCTCCCTGATGCTGTTTATTGTTTGCTGTTGATTTTTTTTATATTTCAATACTTGTTTGATTTGATATGCTTTTAACATGTTAATGCTGGAATTTTATTTTGTAAACCATTTCAGGATACTTGGATAGGAAGTGGTCTGCCATTGAGCTTAATAAGCAAATATATATATGAAAGGTTCAGGAGCCCCACCCCCCACCACTTTATGTCTCCGAACTGGCTTCTGTTTCATCCTTGATATGCAAAGTAATTTCAAATGGGCATACTTTCAAACTACAGTGGTACCTTGGGTTAAGAACTTAATTCGTTCTGGAGGTCCGTTCTTAACCTGAAACGGTTCTTAACCTGAGGTACCACTTAAGCTAATGGGGCCTCTCATTGCTGTTGTGCCGCCACCACATGATTTCTGTTCTCATCCTGAAGTGTATGTAACCCGAGGTACCACTGTAGTTAACTGGTACAAATGTCCATATGGCATTTCCTCTATTCTACGATAGCTCAGTTGTTAGAGCAAGAAACTCTCAACCTCAGGGTTGTGAGTTCCAACCCCACGTTGGGCAAAAAGATTCATGCACTGCAGGGGTTGGACAAGATGGTCCTTCTGGTCCCTTCCAACTCTATGGTTCTATGATTTGAGATGGTAAAGAAGGCTGTGGAGAATGGATGTGTTTCCACGCTCCACTTCAAGTTTCAAATGCAACATTACGAGGATGTTATGTGGGATGGCTGCAGGAGCAAACATGGACCACTTAGATATTTGTGGGAAATGGAGAGGTATATACACACTTTTCAATAAATAAAATAAACAAAAAGAACATGACTGGGGGTTGGCTCGTATGCTCTAACAACAGAAGAAGAACTAAATATCAGCCAACTGCTTGCTAGTGAGACATCGTAAGACAGGGCTGCCTAAGGGAAACCTGCAAGTGGGACACGAGCACAAGAGCCTTCTCCCTACTTGCTGTTTCCAGCAACTGGTATTCAGAGACATGCAGTCTTTGACAGTGGAGATAGAACATAGCTATCCTGGCTAGTAGCCATTGACAAACCAATGCTCCATGGATTTGTCTAATTCTCTTTTAAAGCCATCTACGTTGGTGGTTGTCACTATGTCTTGTGGCAGCAAATCCCACAGCTTAATGCACCCAAGAGGCGGCCTCCACTTTTGTTGGGATACTACAAGAAGAGCTGGAGAAGTGAGCACCACACAGATATATGGACCCACCTCTAAGTTCTTCACTGTTAAGTGCTGTCCACTTTTCAAAGCTTGACCTTGGCAAGCATTTTTCATGGTCCAAATTCATCTTAACAATCCAATAGGTCCTTTACAGGACCTATTTTCTAAAACCTGGTCAGTTTGGTGAAGTCCTGGGAAATTGGGCCCTTCTAGGCGTTCACAAAGGCCACTCAAAGCTTGCAGGAGGTCTCCCTCCTGAGTGTTTAACAGGCAATGGGCAAGTAAGGCTGGGTGTTTGCTGAGGGGCAGTGGGAGGGGAGTGTCTTAAACTGGATGGAATCTGTTTGATTCGGACAGCTCAGTGTAAACAACCAGGGAGGGGGACAGTGGGGGAGGGGATGGGTAGGGAAAGCACACTCCTTTAACAGCTCTCTCCCTGATCTGTATTTATCTACACCCCATTGGGATGAACATGAGGGGACAGAGTGTGTGAGGGAATGCAGGGCCTAGTGGATAATCCCGGGGTTCAGCTGGCTTTCCTTCTACAGCAAAAAATAAATAAATCAGTGGACCTCCCAAATATCTATGTGGGGTGGGGAAGATAGATAAGATAAAAGGCTTATAGTGAGTCAGACCATTGGTCCACCAACTCCGTACTGTCTTATCTCTCTGAGGTTTCAGGCAGGAATCCTTCACAACTTTACTAAGGTTGGACCTGGGGCCTTTTGCACACAAGGCATCAGCTCCACCACTGAATCAGTCATTCCCAGCAAAGTTGAGCCAGTTTAGGAAGCTAGCAGGCCACTCCCAAGTGGGAACAGAAGCCTTCCTAGGTATCTGGGATGAGCCACATACATGTTAGATGTAACCAAGTTGGAGGGATATTTTTTTTAAAGCAGCCTCAAGAGATGGAGGAGTACAGGGGAAAGCTACTTATAGAATCATAGAACTAAAGAGCTGGAAGGGACTCTGGGAGTCATATAGTCCAACCCCTGCAATGCAGGAATCTCAACTAAAGCATCTGTGTCAGGTGGCCATTCAGCCTCTGCTTAACCTGATTCCGCTCCAACGCTGTCTCTGGATCTCTTTTCCCCACCCCTCCCACCATGAGTTACTGGAAACAGTTTTAGGAATATAGAAAGCTGCCTCTCACAAAGTCAGTGGTCCATCTAGCTCAGCAATGTCCACACTGACTGGCAGTGGCTCTCTAGGGTTTCAGACCCGGGGCATTCCCAGCCCTACATGGAGATGTCAGGGATTAAACCTGGGACCTGCTGTGCATGCAGAAGGTCCCAGGTTAATCTGCCACTGAGATGCAGCCATTCCCCAGACAACTAACACCCTTCAGAATGTAAGAAAAAAAGCCCTGCTGGATCAAGTCAAATGCCTGCTTCACCCAGCATCCTGTTCTCACAGCAGCCAACCAGATGCCCATGAGAAGTCTGCAAGCAGGACCTGAGCACCACGGCACTTGCCCCACTTGTGATCCCAGCAGCTGATATTCAGAGGCAACCTGCCACCAACAGTGGAGGTGGAACAAAGATAATGTGGCCAATCACTATTGATAGCTTTTATTCTCCATGAATTTGTCTAATCCTCTTTTTAAGTCAAGTTGGTGGCCATCACTACTTCTTTATGGGAGCAAAATTACATGCAGCTGTTAAGCAGCCTTCCCTTTCATCCCCGCTCTCAAAATGGCAAGTTTCTGAAGCTGTTTTTCAGTTAATACTGTATATAATCTGCCCCTCTTGCTCTCCCCTTTGCATTATAGTCTGGTGTGAGTCCCTTCATCAGCCCATTCTATGCAATGCAGCAAACTGGTCCATCATGGCTCCCCCAAAAGTATAAAGCAGGACAGTATGCATTAAGAAGAAAGAGTTAGTGAGCCAGATCCCCACATCATGGGTGTGTTTTAAAACCCATATTTTTCCTTTTTTTCTGAGGATAAAGATGTGGTTTCTCTTAACACTCCTTTCCTCCACTGTTCCAAATGTGGGTATCAGTTACAGTATTATTAAATCTTCCCGATTTAATGTGAGGGAGGTGTTGCTCTTTAGTCCAGCACTTACTACAATAAACATGTTTTATTTTCTTTTTAAAATTCAGCTTAACAGAGCGAGGCTTCTGCTCCGACTTTTTTCCAGCACTCGCTTGATGGGACAGTAGCACTCAGTCCCAGAGAGACTCTGCTACTGTTTTCCTGTTGGCAAAGGTTGGGAAACAGTCAGAAAGTGGTAAGAAGCAGGTTCCCCTGTGTTCGTCCAAAGTTTCCCATCTGCTGATCCTTGTTGAACATAAGTGTTTAACGAGCACTTTGTTCCTGTTGCCAAGCAGCAGATTGAAAGACGATGTTATTTTCATGCCCCATGATGTCATCATGGTGCAATACTGGCGTTGCAAACTCTTGTGATATTAGCGCACGTCTAGAGTAATTTAATGTTTCTGTCTTTCCTGGTTAGACAAGCTGAACGCAAATCAAAGGAGCAGAAGCTCAAAGCCAAAAGCATCAGCACCCTAGCCATTAATTCCCAGTTCTGAATGTGAAAGGTTTTCAACCACAGTTTCCCCAAAAGGTTTGGATTGTTCATGCCGTGTACATTTTCTAGGGCTGGAACTCTTTTCTGTCCCACAGATGCTGCTGGGCTGCAAAGAGAACTGGGTGCAGTCCAGCTGCAGGACAACAAACACCATCCTCGGTTGCTTCTCCCCCGCTCCTTTTTAAAATGAAAAATAAAATCATTGCTTCACTTTCTTTCGGGCCATGCAGAGAGCAGCAGATGTGGCCATCATCGCCCTAAGCCAGCACTCTGACCTCAGCAGAGCAAAGGGCAGGCAGCTGCTGTGACAAGTGGATGGGATGGGGGTGGAGGGGGGGATAGTGGGAGGCACTTCAAAGCCCTAAGTTGTTGGCGATCTTCAGAGGCGAGTAGGGCCAAGAGGAGGACAGGCTGCTCAGGGAGGGTCTGGCTCTGCATCGTCTTCTGGGGATTGTGCTCTCAAGCTGCGGCATAAGGGGAAAGGGTTTAGAAAGAGCCTGGCCTGTACTCTGCCCTTATCCCTGCCAGCCAGCATCCATTCAGAGCAACCCAGATCCCTTTGCAACACAACAGCAGCAGCCTTCATGTGCTCAAGAGCTTCCCAAGGCACCTTTGTCCATCAGGGACCCCTGAGAGAAGACCCTCCTTTCCAAAAAAATCTTATGGCAAAAGGCAGCCCATACATCAAGCCATGTGAACAGAGAATGAAATGCCACAGAATAAGAGCGGGGGGGGGGGGAGAGACAAAGTCAGTCCTGACCAGGTCAAACCACAATGCCTTTGGAACTGAAACTACACTAGGCTACACCCCTCGGCCAGAGATAATCCAAGGAGCTTTGTTAAACATTAATCAAGACCTGCACATCTAAGCACAACCCCCTTCATTGAATCTAATGGGTGCACTGGCAGCTCTCAGTCTCTTTGCTCTGGAGCAGGCTTTTAGAAAACAGTAGGCCTGCTCTGGAAGGGTTGGTTTGATGATCACAGCTGGACTGGGGCTCTGCATTTAAAAGGATGTCATGGGGAGGAGGGGACACTGTTTATCAGGCCAGGAAAGAAAATAATAGGTTTAAACAGCAGGAATGCAGATTTAGCGAGGGGAGACCTCGCTAAATAAGGCAGGTTAAGCTGCAGAAAACTAAGGCGGGTTTAACTGCAGAAAAAGCCACCTAAATGGCGGTTGTGGGATGTCTTTTCTCAGGTCTCGAGAAAATGCTGGACTCGCACTGACATTGGCATTTTACTTAAGAAACAGAGCCAAGCGAGATGACCACTGTAATTGGGCTTGACATCATTAAAGACATCACATGGAGGCTTTCAACTACATCATCCTGAGGCATCAGTTTTCAGAATTAAAATAAAATAGATGCAGCCCGTGTCCTGGTCTCTTGAATGAATGTGTGGCTCTGGGTCAAATGACTTACTGGGATAGCTCCCAACTTTTCACAATTGATCCTAAAGTCACCTTTTAGTCGAAAGTCACCTTTACCAATGCTGTCATTGTGTGATGGAAAGCTGATTTTTACATGTACATATGTACATTATAGTCAGAAGAGCTGGTGCATTCAAGTTACAGAAGCAGGAAAAAATGCTTGAAGACTACAATCCTTTGTGAACACTTAAGTGGGAGCAAGTAAGGCCTGCTTTGGAGTAAATGTTCACTGGATCAAGTGGTGCATGCCACTTGTGAAAATGACTTCAGGGTACTAGGTGGCAAATTTGGCTCTCTGGTTCCAAGAGCAGTGTTACTCGTACATTGAATATGCTGGAGACTTCCACCTGACTTCTACAAAATGCAATCCTGGTTGACACCAGCGGAAGGAAATTTAAACCAGCGGCAAATCTAGCACTTTGCCAGCTATCCGAGCAATGTCAATTTGGCTAGGCATTTCAGCTTATTGAATCCCTGGGCAAAGCTGCTTTGCACCAGGTGTGATTACAGCCCAACTGGCTGTGGAAGATGACAAGCCTTTCTTTTAGGTAAGCAATGACCCCCCTATTCATTACAGAAAGAACACTCCCTGGCACCAGAGGGTGGTTTAGCCTGCCTGCGGATGTAGCCATGCACTTCTGGATTACAGCAGCTGCTGGGTATGAATGTTATCTGTGCCCCTGGAGACAGCATTGCATCCTGTGATTTGCAAACTGCACAGTTTGCAGAGGGGCATCCGCAGCCAAGCCGTTATGTTCAAACAGATAATTGGGGCCTTTACACGAAGGCTCCCAGTGCAACCGCCAACTCAGGGGAGGAAATTAAGGGAGCACAGCTATTTGCTGGGGAAAGCCAAAACACAAGCCAGCATCTTTTCCATTGCAATTGCCGGCTCAGTCACCCTGTGGCTGGCTCCGTCTCTGCCTAGAGGAGGATCAGAGAGTCTTCCTTCTCCTTCGGGAAGCTGCCAGCAGCCCTTGTCTCTCTCCCATCCTGGATCCAAGTGGCTCTCAGCAGGCGAGCCCCTCCTCCTTCCCCCTATCCAATTATAACCAGCTTTCTAATCATTTGTTTGGAGCTGAAGCCAGGCGCCTGTGGCTGAGCTCAGGGGTGGGAGAGAAAGGGGGGCACGCGAGGAGGGGAGTGGGGGGGTGCTTTCCCCCATCTCTTCTTTTTCCTGGATTGCTGCTGCTGTTGCCCGCAGAGTGGCTGAGTTTTCTCTTGCCTGTATGGCCTATGCCTGCCCTTGGATGGGTACTGTGCCACTCTGGCTGGGGAGGAGCAAAGGGTCTGCTCTTTGGGAGTGGGAGAGGAAGGCTGCTTGTGGCTCTGGAGTCTTTCCTTGGACCAGCCAGCTCTGGCTACCGCTCACTACCCTTAGGGCCTCACCCCAGTGGGACATGTGGGCTCCCAGCCCAGCTGCTTCCACCCTTACTAATTTTTCACTCTGTGATGGAGAGCCTGCTCTAAGCATTGCTGCTGGCCTCTCACTCTGGCTTTACAGCCAGTTAATGGGCCATAGTCAGAAGCAGTGGGTGATTTTAGACTCCTTTAAATGAAAAAAAAAATTGCCTCCAATTTAATAAACACCCATGCTGGCGGGGGGTGGCGTAAAGTAGGAGCGGATGTCCATATTCCCCAAACTGTTTGTCCATGTGACTGTTAGGGCTTGTTATTCCCCTTCCTGAGCTGTATAGCCCATCGTGGAGGATATAGTCGCTGTAAAAAGCAGACTTACAAAGAACATCATGACTTTGCAGGGTTGCCAGCTTTTTTATTGGCCTCTGCTCCTGTACCATTAACAGCAGCTTGCCCTGCAAACATTAGCAGGAGGTCATGCTTAGCTCTTCACATTTCTGCAGATCAAACTGCTGCTAGAGTACAGGAACTGTCTAGGCAAATTATGCATCTGATCAGTTGGCAACCTTAATTGCAAGAAATCTTTTGGGGATGGAAACCAGTCTTCTATATATTGTTAGTCGTAATGGATCCATAAAGAAGTAAAGCAAACTTTCCAGGTGGGGGAAGACTCTTCAAAAGGGTGTGTATGTGTGAACGAAGACTTGCTGTGCCTAATAATGTGGGTGGGTGGAACAAGCTCATAATGTGACTGATACTGCTGTGAGCTACTGTATGAATGCCATGGGAAAGAGTGTGCAGATCCCTTCCCTGCAGTTCTTGAACTGCCACTTGACTTGCCAACCCCTGGCATATAGGGTTGCCAATTTTTTTTTACTGGTCCCTGATCTTGTGACATTAAGGGCTGCTTGATCTGCAGACATTAGCAGATTATCATCTTCAGCTTTGTCTGCTAGTTTTTGGCAACCCCACCAGCATACTCCCTTTTGGTATAGTGCCAACAGAGTCCCTCTTAATGCCATTTCCTCGGCTCTGCAATGGGTCCTCCCTCAGCTTAGGCATCCCATCTGTCGACAGCACACTGCGTTGCCGAGAACCTCTACCTCCAGGCCACCCAGTGAGGGTCTAGCAAAGCAAAGGGCCTAGCTCTAGATGCTGCAGGCTCAGGGCTTGGATGTGGTCTCTTCCTCTCTCCTCCCCTGCAAGAGGGGCCAGGGCTGGGGCATTGCTCCTGATTTATAGTACATAACTGCAGTCAAACAAAAAGCCCTTCATGGCAGCGCGGCAAGCTTGCTGCCTCCCTGGTTTCAGCACATACCAGCGTCACCACATCCCTCTGACCACAACCCCCTTCCCGTGCACCCCCCTGCTGTGTCCCACAGCTCAGCACAACAGGGAATTGTGCACTGAGACCCTCCATCTACTCTCTGCTCTCCCCAGATGCAAACAGCTAACCCCACCTCGCAAACAAAATACTCACTGCTGCTACACAAGCTCCATATCCCACCCAAACATCAGCCCTCAAATACCAAACACTCTCCTCTGACTATCCGAACACTTTCTAGGTTGTCAGACCTGCTACTTCCCAAGATGCAGCCAATCCTGCACTATAGCCTCACATTTCCTCCTTGAAATACAAACACAAATCTCATATCCCGATCTATCATTCCCTCTCTCCCCCGCCCACCTAAATAACGTTATGGTCCAGCACAAATTCTATGCACCTCTGTCCTCAAACATCTCATAAGTACCTCTGCTCACACACATATTCTTTTCAGTGAGAACTCTCTCGCTGCCAGAAAAAACAAACAAACATAAACAAATAAATGTTTTCAGATCTGAAAATGCAGAGCCAGGGGGATCATAACTTTATTGGGACTAAGGCTGCAGTTCTATTCCCACTTGTCCTGGTAACTCAATGGAACTTTCTTCTGAGTAGACAAGTACAGAGTTGCCGTAAATAATGTTGACAATACAAGTAAACTTTAAAATAACACAGAATCCTTTGTTTCGCAGGATTTCAAGGAAAAGAAAAAGCTACAAATGAATTTTCATGTGAAAGGGTTGCACTTGGCCTTGCAATCCAAGGTGAGATCTCTTGTGGGTTCCATAGACCTTAAGTGTCCTGAAATCCAGTATGTGATTGATGTTTTATTTCCAAAATGAAAGTTGCTAGGGCTGAAACCTACCTTGACACCGCTCCTTTGATCTTGGATGTATGGAGGGCAAAGTACTCTGCACAGGCTCAAAGACACTCCTCACAGGCTCAAGGACTGATAGGTTCTTCCTTTTCTCTACTAGTTAAAGGTATACCCAATCAGAAATGTGCCCACAAACTGCTTTAGTCACCCTGTTTTACTCGGAAAAGTACAGGGCAAGTGTGACCGTGTACTCTTTGACAATAGCTCGTGAAACCATCAGGCATGCTATTTTTCTGCATAGGTTGTTTGGACTGGACACACAGTCCTACCTGCAAGCCAAATTCTAGAACGTGATGCTAGGTGGTTGCTGTTTGGCTCTGTAGCACCCCACAGGGTTCCATCTTGTCTCCCATGTTTTACAACATCTACATGACAATGCTGAATGAGGTCATCTGGAAATTTGGAATCAGGTACCATGGAGTACGTAGCAGATACCTATTTCTCCTTTACATCTGATTTAAGTGAGGCAGTGGAAGTGCTAAATCAGCATCAAGCATCAGTAATGGGACTGGATGTGGCCTAATAAACTGGCAGAGAGAGCATTATGGGTCATTGTCTCAGAGAAGATGCATTCTGGACAGTGTTTGACACATGAGTGTTTGATCAGTGTTTGACAAATCCAGCTGTGTCACTGGAAGCTCATGTGCCTTTCATGGGATGGAATGCCTTCCACCATCTAAAGCTGGTACAGTCCATCCCAGATAGAGAAAACTTAGCCAAGTTAAGCCATGTGCTGCAAACCTCCAGATCAGACTACTGTAATGTGTTGCAAATGCCTTCTTTCCTCCCTAGCTAGAGCTCAAGGTGTAATAATACATAGTTCTCCATCCTCTTAATTTATATCTGCAACAACCCTGTGAGGTAGGTTAGGTTGAGATCCTGTGACTGGCCTAAGGTCACCCAGTGAACTTCATGACTAGTTGGGGAGTTGAACCTTGTCTCCCGGGTCCTAGTGTGACACCAGGGGTGCCAATCTGAATAAAATATTGGGGGCGGGGAAGCAAGCTCCGCTCCACGTAAATGTTCACATGCAATGCTGCATGCACACCACTTGAATGGCAATACCCATAAACTGGGGGGCAGGCAGCCCCCCAAATATTTTATTGGGGGATGCAAAGGGACCTCGACTCCTAGGAGTTGGCTCCTATGTGTGACTCTCTTAATTACTACTCCTTTTAAGCCTCTTGAAGGCGGTATGTTTATTTCTCTCTTTCCCCCCCAAATGCTGCTGTTGTACCTGCTGTTTTCACTTCCGACATCGTTTCTTTCTCGGCTTTATTGATTTCATTTGCGATTGCTGCCTGTGGGCCGCCGCTCTGGAAATGCCTGGATTGACTGGAGGCCGACGGGGAGGAAATAAATCTGCAAAATAAATACCTCAGTCAACGAACCATGCCGGCGCGCCTGCCTGCCTGCTCGCTCGCACATCCCGCCCACGCCTCCTCCTTCCCCCTCCAGGCGCCCGGTCCCCGCGCGAAGGACGAGCCCTTGCTTCCTCTCCGTCCCCTCCTCGAAGGCCTCGGCCAGCAGCCGCGCGGGATTCCCCGCGCTAGGGACGCGCTTGGGCCGCGCAGGCGGGAGGCGGGCTGGCAGCGTCTGGCCGAGGCCTAGCTGAGGATGCTGAAACGCTTGTGTCACTAACCGCGAGAGACACGGCGTCTCCGGCACCGGAGGAGTCGCAGCCAGGCGCCTTGTCGTGCGGGATGGGGGTCGCTCGGAGGGGACTGGCTTCGCCTGCCACACATATGGGGAGGAGGAGGAAGGCCCAGTGCGGGAAAAGGGGGGCGCCAAAGCCGAGAGATTTGGCGTGGGGGCTCTTGATGAAACCCAGACGGACGGTTCTGAAGGACAAAGTTGGGGGTAGGTAGGTGAGTAAGGCAGAGAGAAGCTCCATTCTGTGTTTTCTTTGCGCCAAATCGGGGCCCTTGCCCACCACCACTCTACTAGGTCTCCTCCGTGTGCATCGCACAGCGGGATCCTGTGCTCAGTGAGGCTTTTCTTTCTAGGAAGGGTGCTTAGGGTTGCAGCCTCTGCAATGATTGATCTTCTTGAGGGCAGGAGTGGGAGGGCATTAGGACTTCCACTCGCTCAGCTCTTCCCTCCCGCTCCAATCCCCAGAAAACAGCTGCAGGCAGAAGTTCAACACATGGTGCAACTCCAGCCTGGGACAACTACACATGACCAATTCCCCCCTGCTTTAGTTTTCGGACGGGGGTGGGTCAGGGAAACAGCCTGAAGGTTGAGTGAGAGGTATGTGACACTGCATGCTTGCAGGGTGAATTGTCACTCCAAAGTAATACAGGGTCCTGGATCTGATCCTCCTCAGGTTAAGCTGTGCTTTTTCTTTGGCAAAGACATTCCAACTCCAAAGATGTAACTGCAGCTAGGGATTCCTGCAGGCTTCACCTGCAACCACTTTCTGGTACCTTTCCTGTGAAGCTATTCCGAAAGGGGTGCCTTTGAACATGTGATGAGTGCTTTCCTGCCACCACTGCTTAAACACAGCCAGCCGGTCCCACATCTGAGATGAAACACTCTCAAGGATGACTTTCTCAGTCTTACCAAGTTACGCCTGTATTGGCTGCCTGCCCATGGTGTTCTGGCTGGGTGCTGGCATAAGAGAGCACAGGGTTTAGCTTTGCATGCCAAAGAGAGCTTGGCAGTGGTGTGTTAAAAGCGCCAGTGTATGGTGGCAGTTACAGACCTGGCTTAACCACATTAGAATTCTCTTTAAACAAAAAACAAAACAAAACCTATAATTGTTAAAGTAATGAATTTAACTGGATTTTTTCTTTTTAAAAAATCAGTACAGAATAAGGATATGGTCATTATTCCACTTTAACTAAAACATAATTATAAGAACATGACCATGTACATATATGAGTATCATAAGTTAGATGTGGTTTTATGCTGGTGTTTCTGTATGTATGCATATATCTGTATATAAATGCTCCTGTGTATCATCATGAAAAGGAATAGTGTTTTGTGTGCAGTTGTGTGTGTGTGTACATCTCTGTTCAAGTGTACACATACGGGGTAGGTAAGCACAGCACCCTCTGTGGGGGTGTATAGATGTGTGGTGGTGGCCTAAGTTAGCTTGTGTTTGATGGAACAGCAGAGGGGTGTGCGTGTGTGTGTGTGTGTGTGTGTGTGTGTGTTTTATTCAGATCAGTATGCAAGGGGAAGGCAGCCTGGAACAGAGTACTGTGTGTGGGGAGGGGGCTAACCACTCAGCCCTGCCCCTGTACAGTAGTGCCTGCCCCCAGCTATGAAAGCCCCCGTGTCTGGCTGCCAAAGTAGCGAGCCTGCCTGGTGCCAACAATATTTCTCTTGGCCAGTGGCCGGGCTTCAGGGAACACAGAGCCCTTGTAGTAGACTCACTCCGGCTGCCTGTGTCCCTGAATCCCACCGGGGTTGCACCTGTAGGTGGAACAGCGGCACTAGAGGGCTCTTTCCTTCTGGAAGTTTCTCTTGGCCTCTTCTGAAACCCATTGTTTTTAGGCACAGGCTCTCTTTTTTGGTACCCATGTCAGCCTCCTCATCCCCCATCACCTCATGCCTTTTCATACAGCATGACCCAGGGCAGCCACAGCCCTCTGCGTCCCAGAGAAGAGACAGCTAGCTCTCAAAGTAGGGCTGAAACCCCCTGTTGGGGTGGACAGCACTTTTTCCTGGCAGAACTCCTGCCTCTAGGCCCAGGGGGGACCACCTTGGTGTGCCCTCCAGATGTTTTGGAGTACAACTCCCACCATCCTTGGCTATTGACCATACTGGCTGGGGCTGATGGAGGTGCAATCCACAACAGAAGAGGAAAGGGTGCAGGGAGGGAGGAGGAAACAGCTATCCCTGCTTTAGCTGTATTTGGAAGTTGTTTGCTCCTGTATTGAATGATGGGGGTGGAGAGGAAGAATTTATTTATTAATTTATTACATTTGTATACCACCCTTTATTCGCAGATTTCAGGGCAGTTCACAACATAAAAATACAATATAAAAGCAAAAAATCCTTCACAAAAATAAGAACAAAGCACACACACAAACCAGTAACCCCCCCTCCCCTTCCCCTCCAACAAACACATTTAAAAGGGGTATAAGATGCTAATCAATCAAAGGCCTGGTTGAAGAGCAATGTTTTCACCCAGCACCCAGAGATAAATAATGAAGGCACCAGGCGAACCTCTCTGGGGAGAGCATTCTACAAATGGGGAGCCACTACAGAAAAGGCCTGTTCTTGTGTTGCCGTCCCCTGGACCTCTTTTGAAGGGGTCACATGAATAAGGGTCTCAGATGACAATCTCAGGGTCCGGGTAGGTTCATATGGAGAGGCAGTCCTTGCGGTATTGCTGTCCTTAGCCAAATGGGGCCATGCTGAGTAGCCCCTGCTGTGCATGCCTTCCCAAAGTCTGCATGTCTGACGTAAATGGAGGAGGCTCTTGTGCATATAATTGTATGCAAGAAGGCTTCATATTCCAGGGAGGACTTTCAGTGTACACCTATACACGTGAAGGGTCCCTGCTTTAGTAGACATTCTTCTTTGGTGCCCACTCATAGCCAAGTAAGATTGTCTTCCATGAATATGGTCTTAGCAGTGTGTCCGTAAAGGACTGTGGAGGCCAATTCTGGATCTGCACATCCTTCCACAGTGGGGAGATATTAGCACAGTACACAAAGGTCTTGGGGACAGGACCACTTGGTGTGGCCGCACTCCTTGCTCCTGTGTTGTTCAGAATGATAACGCCCCAATAGGGCTTTTATAGCAGCTGCATGACAAGCTGAAACCCAGCAGGTGATGCTTTGCATCTCCCAACTGAATTTCTGTTTACAGAAGAGTCCTGCTAGGAAATAAACAAAAAACAGTTGGCAACCATATATGCTGTTCTTCTGGGAACCCAAAATGTTTCTCCACATCCTGTCCTTGAACATTTCCATACTTTCTGTCGCTTTGTTCCTTCGGGTTGCTGTAAAAAGTCAAGCCGTTCCTAGAAGCGGCTGTATTTCCATGCATGGTGGTCAACAGGGCTGCCAACTCCTCCCGCCCCCGTGGCAGGCTTCTTGCGCCATGACGGAACCCCCTGGATATTTTTAATACTGACAGTACTCCCAATGACTCCACCTGCACAATTTGAAAGGCTGAAGCTCAGGGGTAGGACATCTGGTTAGTAGGCTGAAAGTCCCAGGTTCAATCTCCAGGTTGGATTGGGAATGTTCCCTTGTCTGAAACCCTGGAGAGCGCCTGCCAGTCAGTGTCAACAGTACTGAGCAAGATGGACCATGGTCTGGCCTGGAACAAAGCAGCTTCCTGTAGGCCCTGCTCTGGGTCCCACCACTGACTGAGATACCATGGCTTGGTGACTGCACTTGTCTTTGTGAACTCTTCATCTCTAAGTATCCATTTGGTTCCTTTCTTATCGGCCAGTTTGGAAGATACATTACTATTTGAACATTCTTTTGACATGTATGGAAGTTGATTGTTGGATTAATTTTATTCTGATTATTTTTACCCCAGCTATCAGGGCCAAGACCTTGGGTTCCCTGCCTAGGTGGTTATGCTTGATTTTGTTCCTCCTGCTGCAGAATTGTGATTTCTTAAAAAAAAAATTTTTTGCTGATTGGTATTTTTTATATGTAAGTGTCTTGAAAATGTTTTTGTGAGAGGGAAAGAAATATATAGAACATGTTTGATTCATTGTTAGTAGTCTCGAGAATTCATAGACGAGGTGAAAGTCCAATATGGTGGAGTGGTTAGAGTGTCAGCCCAGGAATGTACTCAGCCATAAAGCTAATTGGGTGACCCTGGACCACTCACTCGGCCTAAACTACTTCACAGGGTTGTTGTAGGGGTAAAAGTGGAGGGCAGTGGGGGAAGAATCATGCACAGTGCTTTGAGATCCATGGGATAGACATGTAAGTAAATAAGCAAGCAAGCTGTTCCTTTAAAAAGTGTGTGACAGATATTCAACAGCTGAATCTCTTCCTGGTTTGGAGATGCAATGATGGGGAGAGCTTCACCTGTTGAAATCTACAACCATGTGATTGTTTGCTTCATCCTGAGTCTTTTTCACCCAAAAGCAGCTGAATGTGGGTGCAGTCAGTGTGGGCTGAGTTGCAAACTATGATGCAGCCATCCCACTCATTCAGATCTGTTCAAATCATTTCCCCATCAAGCTGGTCTGCACACGTGAACCGGATCTATTCCTTCCAGTTTTTGTGTTGACATTTCCAAGCTGAGGAGGAAGACAAGGTGAACAAAAATTTAGCTATAAATCTGGATCCAGAGTTTGCACCCACTGTTTGAACTGTTCTGTCACAGGGACTGAGGCCAATAAAATTTGGAGTCTGGTCATGCGTCATGAAAAAGGAAAATGAGGGAAATAGATCTGGCATATCCCAGATCCCCTACAGAGATTAGCTGTCCCTACCCACTCGAGCAATCAGGAATGACGCAAAGGACAACTTAATAGAATCAGGACTACGATCTTTTCTTGGGTCTGCACCCGCTAGAGAGATGCCCCTTTGTCTGCTGGGGGCTGTGTGCCTCTGGCTGCCCATCTGTGGGACCCCTGTCCCATCTGTTATGGCTGAGGAGACACATTTGCTCCTGGGATGGCCTGGTCCCCCTGGTGGATCCTTCATGGACCCAGCTCCTTACGATCCAGGCAGGGCCCAGCTCGGGATGCACGGGTGCCTGTAATTAAAGGCTCTAATCACAACCAGGCGCCCTCCCCTGCACACACATCTGCACACAATTTAATGCTGGCGACGATGAAGCCACAAGGGACAGGAGTGTTTCTGGCACACTGTCCCGTCTGCAGCCCCCGCCTCTCTTTGGGCCCCAGCTTTGTCTGCCAAGAGGGGATAGTGTGGTGGGAGGGCTTGCTGCCATCTCACAGGAGCAGCAGCGGTTGTCAGACAATGAGCCAGAGAGCCCACTGTCCCTGCTGGGGAAGCTTCAGAAGGCCGCCTAGGTCCTGGGTGCAGCGTGTTTTCCTTCCTTTCTTGTTCCTCAGGAAATTGGCAATAATCTATTCCTGCAGGCCTGAGGAAGGGGAAGGAAGCCAGGATGAGGGACCTGGACCAGATTTTATCTGCAGGGAATTTATTGGTTGGCTCAAATTGTTGACTTTGCGAGCCTGGGTTTGTCATTTGTAAAGGCGAAGATCCTATTGCTTCGCAAACTAAGCTAACAAGCAGCTTGCCCCTCCCATCTTTTGATTTAGTACTGTAAAACTTTTCATTTTTATGGAACATTTAATGCAAAATACTCTACAAGGTTCACTCTCATGACTCCGCCTCTGGCAAAGGTCATCAATATTCCCATTATGCAGATGAGATGGGAGAAACAAAGGCAGAGAGACAATGACTTGCTCAGACTTGCCTAATGAATTGTGAAATGAGGGAAGAATTGAACCCAGCACTTCTCCCGCCTGGTCCAGCTTCCTACCCATCAGAGTATACTTGTGCGCTGAAATCTACCTGGCTGTAGACTCCCGGCTAATGCAACCTGCCTTCCTGCTGCACCCCACAAACCCAGGCCTAAGTAGTGTGGGGTTTTTGCCCCTCTCACAGAGCAAGGCTAGTCATGTTTACTTGGGAGTAAATCCAGCTGTGTTCAGGGACGTACCTATCAATACAGCTATAGTCAGTTTTGATATCATATTCAGAGTGAGAGTGAGAGAGAGAGAGAGTGTGTTGCATTGTCCTCCACAAAGGAAGCCGTATTTCACCACTGGTGCTAGAGATAATCCTAGGGTCAGTGTCATCAGAAACAGCCCTCCTCTCTTTGATGGATTTAGCTGTCAATAGTCAAAGAGAGTAATTTTCCAGAAGCCACTTCTTCCAAGACGCTTCCCGTACAATATCAGGATCAGCCCCGACCCATCTCCCCCCCACTTTCCCCTCTATTCTTTCCCCACCCACCCCAACCTCCTGACCCATCTCACCCATCTCCAGGTCCAGGCCCCATTAAGCACAAAGGCGCCTCTCCCTATCCAGGCCTGACAAGTGTGTGAATTCCCTGCCCAGACGACCAGCTGAGGGAGTGGGGAGGGGGCTCTAATCCATGACGAATGGCTGCCCCAAGGTACTGAAAAGCTCCGGGGATGGAGGTTGCTGTCTGCTCCCCAAACAAAGCTGGGCGCGGGGAGAGTTGAGGGGGCGGGAGGGGCTCTCTCTCCATCTCCTGCTCATTGAGATGTCAAGCTGAAAAGCCCCCATTGTTCACCCGTCGCTCTCACCGGAGATGGGACCAACATGCCTTGCAACTCAATTTAGCACTGGGGTGAGAGGGGGTGAGAGTGGGAGAACCTATCTCCCCCCCCACCCCGCAACCATATATACACGAAGCAAATAAGTCTCCCATGGGTCCCAGGCCTGACTTAGGTATTCTTGCATTGCTGAAAGCAGCTTAGCTCCCACAGTAGTGTTAATCTTGCATTTGTGGGATACCCACGAATTGGAGCACGGAATCTGCTATCACAGTGTGCAAGCCTGGCTGCTTCCTGGAAACCAGTTAGCACAGAAGCTGCGAGCCTTTCAACTTAGGCAACTCAC